TCTTACGATACTACGATACTTCTCAGATTTCTCATGGACGGAAAAAACCAGCACGAAACCTCGCCCGACAGGCGCCGCTCAATCAGGTCACAGTCGGCCATCCGCTGCAGGGGCCCCGCGCGCAGAGCCGGCGACCGCGTGAGAGCCGGGTCGGCGCGGGAACGATCGGGCCCATGAAGTTCAGAACTCCCCCTGCCAGTGGATTCTGGCAAGTGCAATTGAATTGGCCGCGCGCCGATCGTTTTGCCCCGATCTCCTGCAAAGTCTCGAGCGAGGGCGAAGATGACCAGGCAGCCAGCAGGTCGATCAAGCACCGTTCTCTCGGAGCGCTCGCAAGGCTCCCAGGCCGCTCAAGTCGTCCGGCGGCGGGCCTGTGGACAAGACGGATTGGCGGATCAAACAGACGCTCGCACGCTGGCCCGCCGCAGGGTCGAGTTAACCGCGGACGTGCCAAGATGCGTGTCATTGAGCGCCCTGGCACTCCCATCGCAAAACCATATCGACGTGAATTGATCACTGAAGCCGGAGGCGAGTAGACCTGCAAAGCTGCGACTCAGCTCCGCCAAAGCCTCGATGTAAAACTGGGCGGGGGCGAGGCAGCGGCGGCAGGCTCCGCTGACGCTAATGAGCCCAAACAGGGTGGCTGACAGCAGGCTGCCCTGGCGGGCGGCGCGGCCCAAGGCGCCGGCCCCCTCCGAAGCAGCCCCGGAACCGACGCCGGAATCGCCGAGGCGGCAGATGTCGACCGGCCGCGCGACCCAGATGTCGAGGCAGAAGTGGCAACCGTCGCGATAGCTGTCGCATGCACTGCGCAACGGGGCCAACTGCTCCGGCGCCCATCCGCGCCCGGCGGCGTCGCCCGCGGGGAAGCCGCGAGACAGTGGTCGCCGAACCAACCCGTCTTCAGCCCACCGCGCCCGCGCGCTCTCCCACGATCATGGGGTCGTCCTCCGCGGCGAAGGCCAGCGCCTCAAGGGGGATCTCGCGAGCGGCGCCGAGGACAGGCCCACCGACGGCATCTGGCTCTGGCGAAGAAACCTCGGCGGCGCCGCCGCGGACGCGCCTCGCCGCGATCGCGTCGCCCTCGCCGTCGAACCCGGCCTCAGCGAGCGTCGACCCAACCGAGAGGAGTTTCGTCGGCGCCCCGATGGCGATCTCGACTGGCGCCAGCCCCGCGTCGTCGGCGTTGCGAACGTGCAGGCCGTCGACCCGATCGCTGGACCGCATGCTGCAGTGCTGCAGCACCAATCGCCGACTGGGCTCTTCAAGAAGCTGCGGCCACGCACGAGCACCTCGCTTTGGCCGGAAGCCTCGTTCAACTCCCCCTCGGCGGTCGTGTTCTTTATTCTGCGGGCCATCAGGAACGCGAGCTCTGGAAAATCAATCGTGCCGTTCGCGTCCGCGTCCGCCCCGTTGATCATGTCCTGTAGCTCGGCCACGGTCGGATTCTGCCTCAGAGAGCGCATCTCGGCGCCCAACTCCTGAGTGGTGGTGCCGTCCCCGTCCTTGTCGAGCATCATCGCCTTGGTGAGGGCGCCGCCCAGCCAGGGGGTCTGGCGTGGCAGCGGCCTGGCGATGAACATTCATGAACATACAGACGAGCGGGCACCAGTGCGGGCCCCAGACAAGGCCCGAGACAAGGGCGCCGACGAAACACAATCGCGAGTGGCATCCTTGCAGCCAGCTACATGAGGAGATAGCATTGCGCCACCAGGCATTATGACAGGATGGGGAGCTGCGTCGCCCGCACAGCCCGATCATCCGCAGCAGCCCGCCATTGCGACGGGTACGCGGGCGCGAACACAACCACAGCACTGCTGTAAAAGGTCTGTGCCCATTGACGCATCATTCATTGCGGCGGCATCAATCGAAGTGGCCGGATTGCCCACTGCCGCACATACTTGATGAAAAACCGAACTGCCAGGACCAAGCCCCAACGGGGGGATATCCAGGTAGCGTAGCCAGGCGGCCTGGGCCGCCTCCATATTGGAGAAGCCCTGGTCACTGAACTCCAGGGGGCCCCAGTCTCTCCAAATCAAAAGCGAGTCGCCGACAATCTCATCGATGAGGTCGACCACCCAATGAGAACGGGCGAGCCGGTCAGGGGGCCTGTCGCCAGCATATAGACAAGGATGTCCGTGTGCGTCCCGCTCAGGGCTGTACCGCTGGACGGTGCCATTTCGAAATGGTCCGAAAACATGTTGACGGAGCCCTCGGCGACGTCAGCGTCCGTGGGGATGACAAGCTCCATCGTGTTGTCCAACTCTAGGTCACCAGTGCCGAGCATGACGGCGTCCTCAGCGTCACGCGAATCGCGCGCAAGTTGACGCCTCACGATATTGGCCGCCTCTGGCGCTAGCACCGGGCCAGCAGGCGGCCGCCTCCGGCGGAGAGCAGCGGCGAAGACATCAGTGATGCTGCTGGGCCCACGCTGATGCTGCTCGGCGCACGCCTCCAGGAATAAGCACATCAAATTCCAGGCCTCGACCAGGCCATCATCCCACGCGGGTGCTGCTGCAGCTGGGCCGACACCATCTGGGACAGCAGCAGCCAAGCCGTCGGACGTAGGCGGAGGCGCGGCAGCCGCAGCCAACCCCTGAGGCCGGCACAGCACGCGCAGGCACGGGCTCGACCGTGCGGCGGAGGCGCCCAAGTCCATGGCAGTCACCCTGCAGCGTTGCAGCTTGCGGGCCTCCTCACGAGACAGCTGGCGCAGGCCACTGAGGAGGGCCTGGCCAGTCTCATGACAAACAACATCTTGCCATTGAAGACGATTTGGGAGATCCCGAGCGTCGTCACCACAATCAAAATCACTATCAGAAGTGATGCAAAGTATACGCGGGCCCGCTTCCATGGATGGCATGCATGAGCGAGTTCCAAACCACCGCGAGGGCGGCGGTGAACCCATCGATGATGGAGCCGATGAGGGAACACACGAACAGTTGATAGCGACACGCCGACTCCAACCAAAGATCCTCTTGCCCGTGGCGGGAGGAAGCATCAGGCATAAACACCAATCGGTGAGCACCTTCTGCTGAGACCCCTCGACGATCTCTTACGCGTGCTCGGCGAGTGCCCCGTCATTGTCGAAGAGTTATGTTTTTCCCATCCGACCTAAGGACCGCATCCCACAAATAATTTCGAGCACCCGAAAAAGTGTCAAAAGAGTGTCGAAACAGTGTCGAAACAGTGTCGGGCGAGTGTCTCCCAGGGCCCGACACGTGAAAACCCTTGAGTTTCGGTACTTTCTCTGGTGCTCGGAATTCTGTCTGGTGATCAAGGCTAAAGTAGGTTGGAACATCATAATCGAAAAGGGAGAACGCCCCCTGAAACTCGGCGGTCTGCTCCTCGGTGAGCAGCTGGTCCGCCATCGCTCTGAGGGCACCGGCTCGACCGTCACCTTCTGAGCGTCCGGAGGACGGCGCGGGCCCTGGCCTCTGGGAGGTCTGACCCGGGTACCATTTGAGCCATCAAGGTCACGGATCAAGACGCCGTGACCCCAGGACGGCCCATCCCCGAGGCATCTGACTAGCAAGAGCGTGCTAAACACTGGGCACGAGTCAGGTATTCGCAATCAAAAAAAAACTTGAGTCAAATTGTCTACGGAGGCCACTCCTCCTCCTCCTCCTCCTCCTCCTCCTCCTCCACCTTCTCCTCCTCCTCCTCGTCCTCCTCCTCCTCCTCTGCTTCCTCATCCTCATCCTCATCCTCATCCTCATCTCCGTCCTCCTTCTCCATTCTCCACGAGCACTGCGCCCATGCACCATACCATGTCTGGACACCCTATGTGCCCGCTCCAACGCGGTACGGTGCGTAATTTTGCGGCTCTGAGGGCTGAGGGCCGAACAAGCATGCACCGCACCGTTCCTGGGTAGAGCATCGAAGACGCCTCGGGAGACGCCAACGCTGCTCGGTGCACCCTCCTCCCCCTCCCCCTCATTCTCTACATTATCAACCTTCTCACGGTCTTTCTCCTGCTCCTGCTCCTCCTCCTCCTCCTCCTCCTCCCTCCTCCTCCTCCTCCTCCTCCTCCTCCTCCTCCTCATCATCATCATCATCATCATCATCATCATCATCATCATCATCATCATCATCATCATCATCATCATCATCATCATCATCATCATCATCTTCCATCCTTCTCACCACGTGCACCTCAGCAGGGGCAGGGGCAGGAGGAGAGGGCTGCGTTGGCAGACAGGGGGAACGCGACAAGAAGGGGGGCGGGTGCAACATAAGATGGGAGGCAAACCGTGAAAGGCCTACATGGAAACAACTAACAGCGCCAAACAGTCGGACCTGGGCCATAATAATTTCCTCCGAGAACATGAGACCCGCCGTCGGCCGAATCAGACAGACCATCCAAGCGTACCCTCCCCAAAATGCAGAAGATCATCCAACACTCACGAAGAACACTATGGTACCCTCCCCGAGCCAACCTAGATCTCATACCCGGTCCGACCGTACTCAAGCTGGGCTAAGGGAGGTAAAACCCAAGGTTGAGCCCGATAAAACGAAATTCATCGAAGCAGGGCAACGTGAGACAACGGCAACTCAAAATCGGTCTCCGAACCCCTCGCGGAGTCCAAGCGCACCAATTTCCCGCGCTGCGTCCAGCCGTGGCGGCGAGGGGGCCCTTCGAAGGCCGACTGCTTCGATCTCAACGGGCCCTCCTGTGGATTCGAACGGGATCACGCGGGATCAAGCCAAACGAAGCCGATTCTCCACCACGGATGCGGCTGGAGCTAGGACAGAATAACATCCTTCAAGAACATGAGGCCCACCGCCGGCCCAAACGCCCCAAACCATAAGATCACTCGAGGGTACCCCCCTCCAGGATGCACAAGAACACCCAACAAACACCGAGAACATTTCGGGAACCCTCCCCGAACCCACCTCGATCTCATACCTCAGTCCGACCGTATGCCAGCGCTGGCGGCGAGCCTGGCCCTCCCAGCAGCTGCACTCTTAAAGCGAGGGAGGCAGCGAGTGCAGGTCGCCTGCCGGTCGAGTGCCCCCACCACCACTTGCCGCCCCCGATCTCGTCGGACGGAGCCTCCTGGGGGGGCTGACGGGGCCCAGGGACACACCATATTTTCCATGTTGTCTGCAGAGTCGTCTTCCCCTCCACTTTCTATATCTTCCATATATGCATTGGGACTCGATGGCTATTTGTGTCTGTCTCTATCCCCTCCTGAGAGGTGACAGACGAGAGGCTCAGTCCCGAATGCGAAGCCAGAATAGCCTCCGCACAGGGGATCGTTACTCAGGGATCTCAGCAGGCCTTGGATATGGATACTCTCTTGCACATGGTGTCTAGAGCTCCGACCACTTTATTTCGGCACGGTACCCCCTCCATCACCCACCCATTCCACCAGCCAGCGCGCCCCAAGCGCGCCCCCATCTCCCCCACCCCATCCCCCCACCCACCAGCCGGCGCGCCCCCTCCGCCCCGACCCTTGTATGCCCCCCCCCCCCCATCCCACGCGCCCCCTCCGCATCCCCCCCACCCAGCAGCCAGCGCGCCCCACCCGCCCCGACCCCTTTATTTCGGCACGCCCCCCCCTCCCCCACCCACCCAGACCACCACCCCCCCACCCACCACCAGCCAGCGCGACCCCTCCGCCCCGACCCTCGTATTTCGGCACGGCCCCTCCTCCCATCCCGCGCGCCCCCTCCGCATCCTCCCCACCCACCTGCCAGCGCGGCCCTTGCGTCCCGACTCTTTTATTTCGGCGGCACGCCCCCCCCCCCACCCATCCCGCGCGCCCCCTCCGCATCCCCCCCACCCACCTGCCAGCGCGCCCCCTCCGCCCCGACTCTTTCACTTCGGCGTGGCACCCACCCTCCCATCCCACGCGCCCCCGTGAAAGCATTGATGGCTGACTCCCTGGTTTGCTCAGGCTTATCCCAAGCCTCGATTCGACGGCTGCCCCCTCTTTATTCGACTGCTCCTTCACTTCCAAGATCAAGGCAACTTACCTGGACAACTTGCTGGCGGGTTAAACTAGCAACAGGCCCCCAGCGAGGCATTCTATGGTCTATGGTGTGGCCAAGCTGGGTGGATCATGCACCCATTGGATAAGAATGCAAAGCCGAATGCATGAGACAGCCAACATGAATATCGTATGCGTGCGTGTATATTGCGTGGCCGCTGCGTTACTGCGATCTGCGTCTTTACTGCGCACGTGCCGCGTAGCAGTGATGACATTGTGAGCGGTGGGTAAACGCCCGCTGGCATGGAGATACCCCTCAGGAGTGTATACAGCACCTGGGATGTACTTGTGGCAGGTCTCAGACAACGTGAGGATCGACGCTGAAATTCTGTTGACGATCCACGATGGAAATATGGGCTACAAGTGAGGTAACGTGACAACATCCAGAACTGTGAATGAAAGCAAGGCCGCCGGAAATGTACTTGTCTCAGGGCCCGGATTAGGAGGAGGCAGAGAAAGAAAGGGGCAGTGCGAACCCCTGCAAGCTGGGCGCATGCTTCCCGTCGTTTAGAGTCCAGCATCTCCAGTGTCGGGCCGCGCCCTAAGAGCCGCATGCCACGCACGGAAGTAGGGGCTGGCCTCGAGGCCACAACGAATGCAACTGCGAGACAACCATAGGCCCGAAACAAGGCCCCTGGGAGAAACGGACCCTGCGCCCATGGGCACTCCAGGACCGGAATCCCACCAGCCCTGTTTAGAGAGTTTCCTCTTCTACCCCTCCTTTTTCCCCTTCGGGGAGGGGTTTACCCCTCCCCCTACCCCGCGAGTCGTCGGAGCGTCCAAGACGGCCTCGGCGAGGAAGCCAAAATCATTGATTTTACTATGATTTTGGCCCCATGTTGGCCTCCTGGGGGGGACCCTAATTGATGCTCCCCTCTTGTTTGATCGATCTCCTCCAAGATGGCCCCAAGAAGCGCCCGGGAGGCCCCAAGAGGTTCCAAGATGGCCCCAAGATGGCCCCAAAAGGCCCCCAAGAGGCCCCCAGGAGGCCCCCCCAGCGAGGAAGCCAAAATCATTTGTTTGGCCTCCTGGGGGGGGGGCCCTAATGGACGCTCCCCTCTTGGTTGATCGATCTCCTCCAATATGGCCCCAAGAAGCGCCCAGGAGGCCCCAAGAGGTCCCAAGATGGCCCCAAGATGGCCCCGAGAGGCCCCCAAGAGGCGCCCAGGAGGCCCCCAAGAGACCCCCAAGAGGCCCCAAGAGACCCCCCAGAGGCACCCAAGATGCTCCAAGAGGCCTCGGCGAGAATGCAACATCATCGGTTTCACGAAGGTTTTAGCGACATGTTGGCCTCTTGGGGGGGAGCACTGCTTAAGATGACTCCAAGAGCGCCTGGAGGAGCCCAAGATGACCTCCAAGATGGCTCAAGATATCCCAAGATGTCTCATAATGGCTTCCTCTGTGTGCTGCCCAATTCCCTGATCCAGGCAATTCCTCTGGGCATCGTTTCTGGATGGGCTGGTGGGGATTCTGTTTGGTCAAAAGGCTCGCGAGGCGGGTCGAAAGCCGTCCGAGCACTAGTCGGGCCGCGACTAGGCAGCAGGAGACGAACGGCAAGCGAAGCGAGCGAGCGGGCAACCACTCAGAAGGAGAGCCAGATCCGATACTCCCAAACCCGGTGGCGTCGGAAATCCCTGTGGCGACCAGCAAGTAGGCGCAGCCAAAATGGCGCGGCGGCGCGACCAGCTGGTGGGGATTCGCGAAGCGTCAACAATTTGTCATATCCCGCGGCGTTGTCCCGGGCCACGGCGAAGAGGCCTTCAGGAGACCCGCTTTCCCCAAGACCCGCCCGTCCCTCGTGGCGGCTACGAAGCCGTCGCAGGGCAACTCTGGTGCCGCTCTGGTGGCAAGGGAGGCAACAAGATGAAAGCTGGCCACCCGGGCTGAGGGTCACTCCTACGTGTAGCCGACAGAGGCCATGCGCCAGACAGTCCCAATTATCGTTCTACTGGACAGCCAGATCTCCCCCAGGCCGACTGGGCTGCAACTTATGCTCTATGTCCGCCTCCCCCCATGTGTCCCGAACATCAATCCGCCTGGGCCTTCTCGCGACTAAATGCCCAGCATCATCAAGAGGATTCAAGTATTCGTCTCTGCAACATTGGTTCACATCTGTCAAAGCTGTTCCGAATTATCCGTACACCCATGCCTATTTTCGCCCGCTGACACAGGCCGAAGGGAGGTGTACTCACGGGACGCCACTCGCCTCCTCCCGAGTGGCACCACAACAATGAGAGAAAGAATGGAAAAACAACTCCTTTGTCTTGTCATCCCTGCGAATAATCACGCCAATCTCGTCCACGAGACACCGCAACTGCTCCGAGGTGGGTTCCTGGCGACGGCCGGAAGCTGTGGAACTAACAGCGTCCCCCATACATCCAGACAGCTCCCGGCTCTGCAGCTCTTTGGGCTGACGGCGCCACCTCGGAATCCCTCCACGCTTTGCGCATCAGCAGGCAGCTCGCGCAACCCTGAAGACAATCTCAGAAGAGCGACGCAATGTCGGGGAGACTTGGTCCTGGGCTGGGTGGCGTTTGGAATGCGACCAAGCCATTACATTATTTTGCTTCGAGCGATCCCCACGGAAACCTTCGGTGTTCGGTCCCAACGGTGCGCCTACTGGAAGGATGTGCGCAATGCCCGGCGTTGCTGTATTCAAAAGCGTAGGACCGTATTCCATGGAGTAACCATCTAACATGTTATGCTCGATTATGTCTGTTGCTTTATGTTCTCGACGGGCAGGCGTGACGTCGTGACGCGTGGGCGACACCGTCGAGTTGTGGCTTCTGTGTACGCGATGGTGTGCTAAAGTGTGTGTGTGTGGTGGGATTATGCCCCGATGTAGAATGTGACGCTGTGTTCTCTGATGTTATGATATCGACGGGCCGGCGTGACGTCGTGACGCCTGTCACGCTAGATACATCGTCGTATCGTCAATTGTTGTGACTCTTGATTCCTGTGGCGACGCTGCCCAAAATGCACACACGGTGTATTATGTTACGATCTCCCTTTGCCCTTCCGTTATTTCAGTCGTGAAAATATGCTCTGTCATGCACGCTTTGCCTCAGTATGCCGTGGTACGTTATGGTATAATCTGCCCTTTGGCACCGGGTTAGAGCATGATCTGTTCTCCCAACTTATGTCATAATGTGATCTGTTCCATGATGATATTGCCGGCTCGGCTCAATATAGTTAATTCTGATATATGTTAAAATGTGATGCTCTGTCCTGTTCTGTCGTGGTACTCCTCTCCTCCACTGCAATACTGCCGTTTCTGTATTCAGAAACGGTTCAACCATTCTCCATGTAGTAACGATCTTTCAGGTTATGCTCTAGTATCTCATCTTCTGTAGTCGACGGGCAAGCGTGACGTCGTGACGCCTGTGACGTTAGATAGGTCGTCTGTTGTGATGCCCTCTACACCTATATGTTTCTCTTCTGGTTGAATAGACTGTGGTATGCTCATATTTGTCACTATGGTATTGCATGATGTGCTGACGTATTATGTTATTATATGCTCTGTTCCGTGATGATGCTGACGGCTCGGCTCAGGTCTGTATGTTATGATCTGCTCTGCTAGTGTGCTTCGCAATGCTCTGGTGCTGGTGTACGATATGTCAGGTGATGATGTGTCATGATATGATGTGTCCTGCCATAGTGTATGATGTCATGCTCCGTTGTATTATGTTTTGTTGTGTGTATGTCGTCTTCTGTTATGTCATGCTATGCTATGCTGCTATGGTATGTGATGCTGTGTTTGTGGGCGGCTCGCCACAGTATAATATAGTATGACCTGCCATGCTAGTATGTGGCGATATCCTAGATTGTTGTGTTATGGTTTGTTCTGCGATGAAATGCAATGTTGTGGGATGTTCTGCCACGGTGTATGATGTGCTTCTTGGTTATGCTATGGTATGTTGTGTTATGTCGCCTTCTGTTCTACCGTGCTATGATATGATGTGTTATGTGATGCTCTATCATAATCGTTGTTGACATGATATTGCTATGTGATGCTCTGTCATATTATGGCATGCTCGTGGTATGTGTTGCTATACTATGGTGTGACATGTTGTGTTATGACAAGTTCACCGCTATGCTCTGCTGTCGTCGTATGATATGGTTTGTGACGCTGTCGTATGATATGGTTTGTGACGTATGTTATGCCAATGCGTCTTATAGTATGCTCGGTTATGTTATGGTACGCTGTGATATGTCGTTATATGTTCTGTAATACTATGATCTGGTATATTATGTGATATGATGGTACCATCTATTATGTCATGATGTTGATATGTTATGTTATGCCTTGCCATGTCATGCTCTTGCTCTGTTCTGGCATGTTCTGTTGTGCCATATTGTGTTCTGTCGTGTTTGTCGAGGGTGCGAGGCGGGATACCCGGGATTCTCGGGACAACATATTTTTTTCTGACGCGTAATCGCGAGGCTCGGATTCCGTCCAACATCCGCGACGCCCACAGAAAGCGAAGCGGCCCCTGCTCCAGGCGGCAAATGAGCGCCCCCCGATCCAGCGCTCCGACACTGGGCGGAACAGGGGGGAGGCGGGTATCTGGCTCCGGACCTCTGCTTAGTGTGGCTGTTTGCGACAGTGCGTCCTACGGAGGAGACTCCACCTGCTCGAAACAGGCGCCAAGAACATCCAAAATCTACTGAACGGGGGAGGGGAGGGGGGGTGCGAGGGCCCGCACCGATCGACAAAATACTGAATAAAAACAAAAGAACAACGCCCACAGAAAGTGAAGCGGCCTTTGCTCCAGGCGGCGTGGATGTCATGCACCCTGTCCCCTTTGGCGAAAGCTGGAGGAAGCAAGCGTCGAGGGCGCTCGGTCAATTCAAGCCTGCACCAGAGGTCATCATTGATTGGCGCTAGCAGCATGGTCAGGGAAGAGGAGCAAGAGGAAAAAGGAGGCAGGAGAAAAGGTGGAGACGAGAGAATAACGCCGATGACCTGTCGTGCAACTGACTTATCTGAGCACTGGCCAATATTGGGCCCTTCAAATTTTAGACAAGCGTCGCACCTGGCTTGAAGTGCTTGCCAACTCGGACGGCAATGAAATCATATATCTGCCGATACCTGGCCTGCCTGTCCTCAGTGGGACCTTTACTATCCCTCCCCCTCTAGATGCGGATTCATGATGGTGATGCTAGTGGTGATGACGTCAGTGCTGATGTGTTGTTTCTTTTCTCGGCAAAAGGGGTCTTTGCTTCTGCCTGTCACATTCTGCTACGTCTAAAGGCAGCTTCAACACGCCACGCCACCGGCGGACAGATCCTGCCCCCCTGTGGACTGCAGGGGCACAAACAAGTGTCACGGACTCGGTGCGCGGGCGATTTTCTGCCACTGCTCGGGAGAACACTCCCAACAAAACGTGGCTCTTTTCCCGCCGCGAGGGATGCAGAGAAGCGGAGATGCAGTAGGCTGCGACCACAGCTACCCGAGCCTGGCTCGAAAGAGGCAGCCGCGCGAGGAGGAGGAGGAGGACGAGGAGGAGGGGAGGAGGAGGGAGAGGCGGAGGAGGGAGCGAGAAAGACATCGGAAGCGGCGCTCGAGCCAACCTACGATAGGCGAGCCGTGGCGCGCGTCCGGGGGCCAGGAAAACAGCAAAGATGCAGAATTCGGTATCCCTTATTACGCAGAAGCCATCAAATGTGTTAATCATGTTTTCCTCGAGCAGCGAATACGTACCCGCATCGAAGATGCCATCACGGCGGCGTTCACAAAACAACCATGCAAGTGGTGAGCACGGCACACGCCACTGATGCCGATGCAAACCGCCAATTACGCCCAACGGCTCGTAGGGAATTGCGGTCTTCAGTCAGGATGCATGCGACCTCAAGGGCCAGCGCATGTGCGTCAGGTGTTCATTCCACCCAAGATATCATTTGGAGGAATTTGAGCGGAACTCACGTCATCCTGACCCCTGGCGCGCGGGAAGGTCAGGCCCCACCGCGCCCCCAAGGATAACCCACGATCATTCTTCTATCGCCCAGAAACGCACGCCCCTACTTCTATATACAGAAACTCCCGATCAACCGCAGATCGGCTGGCTAGTAATGATTCTAACGATGCTTGCCTGCACCACTTTGATCAGGAAGCTTGAGCAGGCAGCGAGCGCGTCATATCATAGTGACCGATGTCTTCAATGGCACCAATGCACCATACGCCTTCAATGACAGCGACCGCGGCTGAAGGTAAAAGCATGTTCGTAATGCGGCATTTGCTACAAACTCAGTTGTTATTCGAGTACCCAACAGCTCTATGCCAATCGTTCGCTCTCTGAGGTAAAACGACAACTGACGGAAGGCCGTCGGTTCCGAATCATGTCTCAATTCCTGTTCCACCATTACATGGAGCAATTCTGCCGTACGATTCTTAGAGCCAGGCCGCTTGTTACTACACTTCTCTTTGATGAGCCCCACACGTAATAGAATAACACAGCCGCAAATTGCTGCCAACACACCAAAACATATTGCGCACGTTCTGGACATTTCCCCTGAGTGGGCGATTCCAACAAAGCCGAATCCAATTGCGAGCGAGAAGAGCATGGCGACGCGAAATATGATCAAACGCCCCAGACACTTCCAATCGAAGGTGTCCGCTACCAAAAAAACGGTCGCCCTCACTAAGTCCAGCACCTTTTGCCACTGGTTTGGCGTTGTACGCATGTCGGCCACATGCTTAACGACCCCGTCGACAATTCTACGCACGGCTATTATACCGATTTCTTCGACCATGGAAGGTACAGTGAAGAGCATGCCGATGGACCAAGTGAAGACGCTGAATGTAGTCCAAAATCCAATGTGCATTTGCCTCGCAAAGCCGTCCCCATACAGCAAGGGCAACCAAACTAACACTGGCGCAACCATACCCGATAGAAGAGCAACTGGCCAAAGGACATAGGAGAAGAACATGTATGCACGGCCGAATCTCATATTCAGATCGTAGCAGTTCGCAACGCTCAGCGTCCGCTCCGAATGAACGCTGGTAGCGCTACACCTCGCCAGATTGGGGAGAATCACGCCAAGCGCTAAGTAAATGAACCCCGCAACCCAATTCTGAAACCACTCCAGAAATTCCATTATGACTTCGAAAACTGGCCGCGGGAACATACTTATCAGGTTCCAGCGCGGCGGAACGAGCAGTCCATGGATCACCAAGGATCCTGAGCTCATACTGCTCAACGCTGCAACAAAGAATCGACCATCATCGCTGAAGAGGAACGAAGTACTATTCAGCTCCACCAGCATCGTGACCTTGAATACGTTGAACACGTCGAGGCCGTTAAGCATGCGTACGCGTGTCCCCTCATGTGTACATATCGAGAAATCGTCGCCTGGTCCGTCGGAGCTTGAACCTTGCTCTGCATGCAATGCTTTGGGTGAGACCGATGATTCACCGGTCTGCATGCAATCGAAACATGTTTGTGATCCACTGAAGGTCACCCTCTGATGTCGGTCCGAATCAATTCTTGTCAGATAGGATGAGATTCGCGCGGGGTCCGCCGAATTCGACTTTTCCCACCACACCCACGTTACTTCAGGCAGACTTCAGCTTTGCCACCCCAGGGAGGGGGCGAGAGTAAATTCGCCGACTGTGTCCCCGTGGAAGACTTCAGCCAAAATGGAATGGCTTGAGCCAAAAAGGCTACGGAGGGGGATTCTGGGGACAACTCGGGGTCTGACGGCCGCGGTATGCAAGGGGTGTTCTGTCGTGGTTGTCGAGAGCGCGAGGAGGGATAACCGGGACACTCGGGACAACTTGGGGTCTGGCGGCCGCGGTATGCAAGGGGTGTTCTGTCGTGGTTGTCGAGGGCGCGAGGAGGGATAACCGGGACACTCGGGACAACTTGGGGTCTGGCGGCCGCGGTATGCAAGGTGTGTTCTGTCGTGTTTGTCGAGGGCGCGAGGCGGGATAACCGGGACACTCGGGACAACTTGGGGTCTGGCGGCCGCGGTATGCAGGGTGTGTTCTGTCGTGGTTGTCGAGGGCGCGAGGAGGGATAACCGGGACACTCGGGACAACTTGGGGTCTGGCGGCCGCGGTATGCAGGGTGTGTTCTGTCGTGTTTGTCGAGGGCGCGAGGCGGGATAACAGGGACACTCGGGACAACTTGGGGTCTGGCGGCCGCGGTATGCAGGGTGTGTTCTGTCGTGTTTGTCGACTTGGCGTCTGGCGGCCGAGGTATGCAGGGTGTGTTCTGTCGTGTTTGTCCAAGGCGCGAGGCGGAACAACCGGGATACTCGGGACAACTTGGGGTCTAGCGGCCGCGGTATGCAGGGTGTGACTGGCCGTGGGGTCTTTTCTTGAAATCTAACGACCCCAACCTGTCCGGTGGGGAACAATCAAGTGGCCAAGGACGATGCTTTAACTACGTGTTGCTTGTCGGAATCGCCGGCTGCGGACTGGCAGCCTCGACCGCGGCGACGTCGAAGACAAATGGGGAATAGGTTCGTTGATCGTCCACTTCACAATTGGGCGCCACGACCCCCCCCAGCCGCCATGTCTGAACAGCTTGGTCGTATTACCACTTGCTATTGCCTGCACGGAGCTTGGGTGGGGCCTGGGGGAAAGTGAAAAGAAGAGGAAAGCCTTCTCGGGAGGTTCGGAGGACCCTCGGCCTTCTGAGAAGTTTTCTGAGCTTTCCCCGAAGACACAGAAAGCTTCTCAGAAGACGCGAGGGCTTCTGACAAACCCACCGCCTTCTGAAAAGGCATTATCCTTTTTCCCATATCGCTCGGCGCCGGGCTTGGTGGTGGAAGTAGATCCGAACACACGTCGCACTTGCTTCGAGTGTGCGTCCTGCCTGCGCGATCACTGGGGGGGGCTAGAACGATCTCGATGACACTCCGCCGAGGGGAAATCATCAACGTGTCACTGTTGAAGAACAGCCAGGCCTGCGGACACACACGCAAGAATGATACACTGACGGGCTGCCAATGGCGGCGTGTCATTGATCAGGATCGCACTAACCTGGGTCAACACGAACTGTTCGGCCAAGACCCCGTCGCGAAGCCCAGCCATCTGCTTACAGCGGATGGCGGAAAGAGGGGAATCGGCCCCACATGGCTCCAAACACCCGGTCAGCCAAACGGGGTCGGCTGACCCCCGAATTGATACAGTTCGAATATCTCGCGAGGACGGGCGGTAAGCGCAAGGGCCTTGGACGCCGAAGTTGGCAATTTGTGGGCGGCGGACTGCCAACACCCTGAAGAGCAGGCCAATGGAGGCGGCGAGCGAGGGGGGGAAGTGAGAAGAAGGAGGCCTCCTCAAAAGGCGGCGGGGCTTTTCAGAAGCCCTCGCTTCTGCTGGGAAAGTTTCTGTGTCCTCGGGGAAGGCTTCAAAAACTTATCAGAAGGCCGGGGGAGCCTTCTGAGAAGGCCCGCTCCTTTTCCCCCCCTCGCTCGCCGCCGACAATGAAAACCGCGAAGGACGGGCAGCAAAGGCAAAGACGCAAGGGCACCCTAAGGACAACCGTGCGTCTTTCCTGTGAATTTACACTGTACTCTTCCCCCCTCCCGAGATCACGGCGTGACGGAGGGACGGACCCATCCACACTGATGTCCTCACGATCTGGCTACCGAGGCACGATCCATTGGATACGCGATCCCACGGATATTGTCAGACGTAGGACAGAAGAACATCCTCCAAGAACGATACCCTCCGCGGGACAAAACACACAGAACATCCAAGGGTACCCTCCCCAGAACGCACACGAGCATCCAGCCAACGCGAAGAACAGTAGGGTACCCTCGAGACCAAAACCTCAAAGGACCGCCCGGGCCTTCCGCAACATGCAGGGGGATGTCCAGATGTCCGTCAAACCTTCTGCAACATGGGTGGCTCCCCAACGTCGGAAACGGTTCGCCAGGCCTTCCGCAACATGGTGACCCCCCAACGCAAAGGGATGTCTGGATGTCCGCCCGGCCTTCTGCAACATGGTGGCCCCCAAACGTAGGAAGCTTTTCGCCAGGCCTTTCGCAACATGGTGTCGTCCCAACATAGAAGGGCTGTCGTACGGGGGCTGTCCGCCAGGCCTTCCGCAGCATGGCGGCTCCCCAACGTAGGGGGCTGGCCGCCTACGTCGTTTAGTGTTTAGGACTTACGGTTTAGAATCTTAGGGCCTTAGGGCACTAGGGAATAGGGGTGCGAGGGTCTGAGGGTCTGTGGGTCTTGGGGTCTTAGGGTCTGAGGACCTGAGGGTCTGAGGGTCTTGTGGTCTCAGTATCTGCAGAACTTTGCGTCTTTGGGTCTTTGGGTCTCTGTGTCTTTGGGTCTTCGGGTCTTCGGGTCTTAGGGACTGAGGGTCTGAAGGTCTCAGTATCTCAGGGTCTGAGTGTCTGAGTGCCTGAGGGTCTGAGGGTCTGAGGTCTGAGGGTCTGAAGGTCTGACGGTCTTAGTGTCTCAGGGTCGTAGGGTCTTCGGGTCCCAGGCCAAAGGGCCCACGGATCCAAGAGGCCAAGAGTCCTAGTGTCCTAAAAGGCCAGGGTCATAGGGTCCCGGGGTCCTACGGCTTTGGAACATTAGGGTCTTAGGGTCTTAAGGTTTTCGGGTCTTCGGGTCTGGTGGCCTGAGAGTCTGAGGGTCTTAGGGTCTCAGGGCCTTACGGTCTTAGGGTCGTAGGGTATTCAATATGATGGCCTGAGGGTCTCAGGGTTTCGGGGTCTAAGTGCCTGAAACTCTTAGGGTCTTAGGGTCTGAGGATCTCAGGGTCTTCGGGTTTTCGTGTCCTCGGGTCTGAGGGTTCGAGGGTCTGAGGGCCTGAAGGCCTGAGGACCTGAGGGCCTCAGCATCTTAGGTTCTTAGGTTCTTAAGTTCTGAAGGTCCTAGGGTCTTCGGGTCTTCGGGCCTTCGGGCCTTCGGGTCTTCGGGTCTTCGGGTCTTCGGGTCTTCGGGTCTTCGGGTCCTCGGAGCTTCGGGTCTTCGGGTCTTAGGGTCTTCGGGTCCTGGGGCCTTAGAGTCCTAGGGTGGGGCCTCAGGGTCTTAGGGTCCTAAGGACTTCGGGTCTTCGGGTCTTCGGGTCCTAGGGTCTTCGGGGCGCAGAGCTGGTGGGTCGTGGGGTCATAGGGTCGTAAGACCTTAGGGTCTCAGGGCCTTAAGGACTAAGGCTTTACCCCTGCGCAGTGGCCCCGACCCTACCCCAAGGCGGCCCCCGAGGTCGGGTGGATCCTGGCGACGAGGATGTGTCGCTCTTGGCCCTGGCCCTCTCGGCTGGGTTGGCGCACTGCGAAGGAGGGGGCAGCGTGCCAGTGCACATTCAGGAAGCGTCCCTGCCTGCGCACGCACGCGCCGCCCCTCCTGCACACCGCAAACGGGGGCCTCTGAGGAACTCGTGCCCCCTCTCCTGCGAAACCTCGTCCGCAGGCTCGCCTCGGCTCGCACGATTCCCCCCGCCTCCCACCCCCACGCGCCTCGCGTCGCCCCTATCCCCAGCCATGGCGGCAGCAGCGGGCGCTCGGGCGTGCTGGCCCCGCATCTGCGGGCCTCGGCAAAAGCTGGCGCCATCGCGGGGGCCAGGACCGCGGCAGGCACTGCCAGCGGCAGGGCGTCGGCGCCACGCTCCGCGGGGGGTCGGGCTCGCGTTCGCATCGCACGGTCCCCCCCCCCGCCTCCCTCCACCTCGCGACTCGGCCCTCCCTCACTCGCTCTCACCTCACCCCGCGCCTCCTGCTCCTCCGAGGGGGCCTCCAGTTATCCCCCAGGGCCCGGGCCGGTGGGAGTGGGCGAACTGAGCGGGGGCCCTCGGGCAGAGGCCAGGAGTCGGGCTAGCACGACGCTCTGCATCGCTAGATGCTGCTGAGGTTCCCAAAGCTTGTGTTGACGAAGGGGTTCCCACAGCTTGCGTCGATGATGAGGTTCCCACGGCTCTCAGCTCTCTGCGTGGGGAACTGCTGCTATCTATCTTCACGCGTTCCTTCGCCACATTGCGAAGCCTCGGCATCTTCGCGACTCGCCGTCGCAGCACATGCTGCGGGTGCCGCGATGCCCTTTGCCAGCATGGGAGTTGCAGGCAGACAGGCTCGCAGGGCTCGGGACATCGCGAGTGGGGCCGGGGCTGGCCAACACAGCAGCTGCCCTCGCACGAGAGGTAACTGTCGGCCGACAGGGATGACGCAGGAGGCCGTGAATCGTCTCCTCAATGAAGGCCGCTCGGTTACAGAGCCGACAACGCAAACCATGGCGATCAGGCACCAAATCGTGAGACACAATGGACAGGGCAAGTGGCCTAGGCGGGGGCCTGGGGGCACGGGGCTCCTCCTCCGAAGGCGACCACCTGTCCGGGCTAAGCACCCGCTTGCCTGCCCAGGCAACACATCTAGTTCGACTGACAACTTCTGAAAGGCGCAGCTCCACCCTTTTACCGAAGCTGGGGCTGAAAGTGACAACATGCAACGCCACCGTGGCAAAGAAATCGGCCCAAACATTACCCACCCAAAGGTTCAGCCCCATCCCGTGCTCGATATCCACATCAACGGTTTTGTGAGACGGGGTCCAAGCGAAGCGGGGTCGGGGGCGGGCCTGCCGTTCAACCGTGGCTCGTATGGCTCGCGAAATCTCGGCGTGGCGAGCGGCGGCCTTCGCCTCGCTCTCACTCCATCGCTCATCCTCTTGCACAAAGATCGCAGGCGAGGCATCGACGGCTTGGAATCCAGCAAAACGGGCTGCTCTGGGGACCGACTGGATCCATGGGAGGCTTCCAAATCTGGCCTTGGATGGGCGGCCCTCAGAATCAAGCTGCACCATCGCCCAAGCACGCCTAACTACCTCAAGGGACTCCATACTTTGGCCAGCCTAATCCGTGTAGGCCGTGCCCGCCCAAGGGATCTCAGGGTCTGGGGTCTCCCCATTCAAACCACTACTCGGGTGTCAGCTCAGGCCTCTCTGGTGCGAGTGTGTGTGGGTATGTGTGTGTGCGTGTGCGTGTTTGCGTGCGTGCGTGCGTGTGTGAGTGTGTGTGTGTGCGTGTGCGTGTGCGTGTGCGTGTGCGTGTGCGTGTGCGTGCGCGTGTGTGTGTGTGTGTTTGTGTGTGTGCGCGCGCGTGTACGTGTGCGTGTGCGTGTGCATGTGTGCGTGTGCGTGTGCGTGTGCGTGTGCGTGTGCGTGTGCGTGTGCGTGTGCGTGTGCGTGTGCGTGTGCGTGTGCGTGTGTGTGTGTGTGTGTGTGTGTGTGTGCGTGAGTGCGTGTTTGTGTGCGTGCGTGCGTGCGCGCGTGTGTGTGTGAATGTGTGTGTGCGTGCCTGTGCGTGTGCGTGTGCGTGTGCGTGTGCGTGTGTGTGTTGCGCGTGTGTGTGTGTGTTGCATGTGTGTGTGTGTGTGTGCGTGTGCGGGTGCGCGTGTGCGTGTGCGCGTGTGTGCGTGTGCACGTGTGTGCGTGTGGGCGTGTGCGCGTGTGCGCGTGTGCGCGTTCGCGTGCGCGTGTGCGTGTGTGCGTGCGTGTGTGCGTGTGTGCGTATGTGCGTGTGTGCGCGTGTACGTGTGTACGTGTGTGCGTGTGTGCGTGTGTGTGTGCGTGTGTGTGTGTGTGTCTGTGTGTGTGTGCGTGAGTGCGCGCGTGCGTGCGTGCGCGTGTGCGAGTCATTGTGCAGTTCCCCACTCCCCTCTGCAACACCAAGCGAAACTGACGCCCACGTGCCCCGCTTCATCCTTCGCTGCAGTGACGCCCCTCGGCCGCTGGAAGAGCAACAGGCGCCTTCACGTGTCGGACTAAACTTTGCTCTGCTGTGGTCTGGGCCGTCCTAAACCGACGGACTGGGCGGTGACCTCGGCATCCTCAAAACGTCCTCACGACACGGTCCGTCACCGCATTGTCTTGGGACCCTGAAGGCCCCAGTCGTCCGAGACCTCCTCGGAGATCGACCCAAGTCCCGACAGCGAGCGGTGACCCCGAAGCCCCACTGGCCCACCAAACAGTGTGGTCACTGCACTGGTGTGGGGGCCCCTGGAGAGAGGCCCGCCCAGAGTCCTGGCACCCCGCGTCGGCGGCGGCGGCCCGCGAGGCCGTGCTGGCGCCCTTGCCCGCGTTTGCGGAACCCGAGGCTGCACCAGCGCCCTTGCCCGCGTCCGCCGAGGCCGAGCCAACGCTGGCGCCCTTGTGTGGGCAACCACATGTGAACCCTACCGCTACAGGCTGGGCGTTGCTGACTTGGGGGGGGGCCCGGCGGGCCCCTTTTGGGCCCCAGGGGGGCCCTTCAGGACTCCTTGGGGGCACCAAAGGTGCACCTTCCTTCGCCCCCCTATTTACCACCCCTCCAGGTACGCAGCGCCCGATACAGGTCAGATTTACGAAACGCTGGCTGTGGCTGAGAATTCGAAGGATGTCTGCAGCCACGCGAACCCTGAGGGGGGTGTCCGATGCCCCCTCGTCGATTGGACCAGCAGCGGGAAGATTCGCATTTAGTCGCAGACCTCGCCCGCGTCGGTGGCCGCGACCTCCGAGGCCGCGCTGGCGACCTTGCCCGCATCCACGGACACCGAGGCAGCGCCGGCGCTGGCGCCCTTGCCCGCGCTGGCGGCCGCGACCGCAGAGGCTGCGCCGGCGCCCTTCTTGCCGGGTTCATCCGCGGCAGGACTGGCAGGCGGCGGGGAGGTGACTCCCAGAACCCCCTCGCGCCAGGAACAGCAGCTATCATGGCGGACATTCCTTCGCTCTGCGCTTCCGGCATGACCGGGGAGGTCGAGGCCTCCGTGGGCTGACGTTGCGATGAGAAAATCACGACGTCCGGGGTCTGGGCAGTGAGGGGCTTGGCGCGAGGCAGGGCCGCGACGGGCCGGGCGGGCGTGGTGTCGAGGACACGGCGGGTCACTCCCAGAGGCCGCCTGCGCGGCAGCGCTCCTGGCCTGACAAGGGCGACAAGAGCCAAGGTGAACGGGAATTCAGGTGCAAGCAGGCTCCAAGCAAATATGGCAAGCTTGTGTCGCGTCGACTTCGGCGTTGGTTCCTGACACCGCGGGGATTGTTCAATCTTGAACGATCGGTCGTTTCCGAAACGTCCGATCCTTCAACATCGATCGATTCTGGGCCCCCTGCGGCGTTCAACGTTGAACACCCGCGCCGGAGTCGCCGCTGGTCCACACGACGCGAACCTACCGTACACAAGGTACCACCAAGTTTAGTTCCAAACGCCTGTCACAAGAAAGCCGAGTACCACCCCGAGACGAGCGCAACAGCAGCCCGAGACAGCTCGAAACTTCAGTGAAGTACCTCAGCAGCCCCAACTGCAGGATCCATGACGCCGACGGGCGACCACCAAACCCCTCAGACGGGCACGACGCATCCCATCCCTCCAATTATCCTAGTGCGACCCTACCTAGGAGTTGGAGCCTCTAGGAAAGCAACAGTAGTAGGAGCGGTAAACGCCGTCCTGCTCCTTCTCCTCATCGTCGTAGTTGTAGCAGTAGCGGTAGTAGTAAATCGCCGAGACAGCAGCAAAAGCAAGCAGGCACGAAGATGAGGGCGGGGCTCTGGGGAGTTCTACATTGAGTACATATATATATAGCAGTGGATGATGTGCTGCGCTATGCTATGCTATGCTATGCTCTGCTCTGCTCTGCTCTGCTCTGCTACGCTATGCTATGCTATGCTATGCTATGCTGCGCAATGCTATGCTGGGCTAGACTAGGCTAGGTTATGCTATATTATGCTGCGCTATGCTATGCTATGCTGGGCTATGTATGATATGACGTGCTGCGCTATGCTATGCTACGCTATGCTATGCTCTGTTATGCTAAAGCTCAGCGAAGCTAAGATGAAGGTACGCTAAGCTAAGATAACCTGAGCGAAGATGAAGCTAAGTTAAGCTATTATGAAACAAATGAGCTAAGATGAGATAAGCAACGCTAAGCTAAAGGGACGCAGCTGGGGGAACCGCGGGGCGGATCCTGGGGGGACCGCCCGGGGCGCATTACACTGCCCGGCCCTTTAAGCCCATAGAGTAAGAACCCTTCTAGGCAGAGCCTAGGCAGGGAATAATTCAGGATGACGGTAAAAATGAAAAACGCCATGGGGAATCAAACATATGTTTCTGCCGCTGCAGTCCCACCAGCCCTTTGGGCTGAGGTGGTCTAGCGAAATGATCAGTCATTCCTCTTCCTTTTCGGGAAGGGTGCCATCCCCCTCCCACCCCCTGAGTTTTTCCCCAACTATCCTGTGGTGTTTGGGGTCCCCGCTTTGGAAAGACAGCGCCCCGCGTTCCTTCCTCCTTTTTTTCTCTTCCTCGTCCTCCTCCATCCTCCCCCTCTCTGCCTCTGCCCTCACCACTCAATTTGGCACACCCCTCACCCCGCGTCCCTGCTCACCTTCCCCCTCCCCCCTCCCTCCTCTTATTCGTGCCTCTGTCTCCCCCACCCAACACCGCGCTTCGTAGCCCAATAAGGGGCTCCACCTAAGGCCCCGGTGGCGGTGTCCACATGCGGCTCCCCCAACCAGCACAGCGCTTCGTGGCCCCATCAGGAGCTTCACCTAAGGCCACAGCGGCGGCGTTCACATGCGGCTCCCCCACCCAGCACATGGCTTCGCGGCCCCATAGGGAGCCCCACCAAAGGCCGCAGCGGCGATGTACACATGCGTCTCCCCCATCCACCACAGTGCGTCGCCTACCCAGCACAATGTTCCGTGGCCTCATAGGGAGCTCAGCACGAGAGAGCGCGTTTCACGGGTGCTTGCCTTGAAGACATTCGGCGGCGCGTTTCGAGCCGGGGGTGGGCCCCGTGCGGTGCACCGTTTGTGCGATTTGGCCAAGCGGTTTTCCGCGCGCGTGACGGCGCTCAGGGGTCTGAGGATAGGACGCGTCGCATCTTAACACGTGTGTCGCCCGCCCTCCTGTCCCTTCCTCCTCCCTCCCCCCTACATTCTACCGCCCTCCGTCCCCTCTCCCCCTCGTGTGTCCTCCACTACTGCCCAAAAAAACAATGCAAACGTAACGCATGTGCAACGCAATGCAAAATGCAAGCGCGATCCCTCGCGCGCAATAAATTGAGCGTTGCCGCGGTGAGTCGGCGGAACAACTGGAGCCTCCCAGCGCGAACAAAAGTGCAACCCACAAAGATGTTCAAATACGCTCATCGCGAATACATGTAACAATATCACTTGCGGAGGGAAACAGGCGTTGCAGGCTGCGGGCATCAGCTAATACTTCTGGCGCTTAGCTGGGACAACGGAGGACGTGCGCTTACGCTTGGTCCTCCTTGGGGCTTTCGCCATTCCTCAAATTTAACCGACTTGGGACGAATCAGAATACGCCACAAGCAACTCTGCAGATCTCTCATGAGCGGAAATTTGTAGTGAAAGCGAAAAAACAAGCGCACCGACTACTCCGAACCCAATAAAGCTTCATGTATTTGCTGTTTTTTAACCTCGGTTCCTCCTGGCCGCGCAACGCTGCGGTTCTTTCATGACCGGAAATCTGTTGCGAAAACCATGCAGGCGCCAACCATTTCGAAACTTCATAATTCAAGATTACTTCGTGCATTTGCTGGTTTTACCTCGGCTCCTCCTGGCCGTGAATCATGCCCCGCGCGCAACCCTGCTGATCTCCCAGAAATAGAAAACCGCTGGGAAACCAATGCGAACGCCAGCGTGCCAAACACCGCAAAATCGACATTACTTCGTGTAATTCTTGGTACAATGGAACGCGCGTCTGACGGCCAATCGCACAAGTCCAGGGACAGTCTGATTCGGGAAAACATGAAAACTGACAGGCTACACTCTCGCGCGCATGCGCGCCCGCTGCGTTCACCTTTGCAACTCACACATGTCCAGGGACAGGCTGCCGAGCGCCGCGCGACTCGTTTTACTGCATCCCGCGAGCCCGCTCTTCTGCGCCCTCGTCTCTACTGCCCGCCTCTCAAGATATCATCCAAAATGCGCCGGCACCGCCGGCGCCTACTACTCTCCGCGCGGTCAGCCTTCTCAGCCTCCTGGGGATCGGATATATAACCATGCGCGGTGGCATCCTCCATTTTCCTCCTCGACCCTTCCTCTCCTCTTCCGCCTTGCCCCCTCCCCCCTCATGTTCCCCCTTTCATCTCCCTCCTTTTTCCATTATCATCCCTGCGTGTGCCCCCGCGTTTTTTTTGACCGCTGCAATGGTTTTAACGTCCCAGCCATGTCCAGCTCGTTTATGGGCGCGCCCCGTTTCGCCAACAGCGCGGCCGCTTTGGTTGCCAAGCCAGCGGCCCGAATGCGGACGGATTCCTGCGCGTCGCGCCTCTTCTCCACGAGCTTCGCCTTGTCGTTCGCGGAGGGCTCGCCCCAGAGCGACTCGTGGGAGTCGACGGAGAGCCGCGCTTCCCTGTTGGATCTCGTCGCGCGCAGTCGCCGCTCCGTCTCGACCGCCCACTGGGCGACCGACGCCGTGAGAGCTGCTTCGTCAGGCGTTTCTTGAAGGGGGCCCCCCTGGTTTAAGGACGTCGCTGCCCACGTAAACGGACCCGCCGTCCTTGGCCGCAGGGCCCGCGTCGTCCACCTCGTGCTTGCGCCAGCGTTTCTCTCCGTGCAAGCAGGGCCCAGCCTTGTAGTGGAAGCGCGCAGGACGGTTTCCGCCGCCGTTGTCCGCGGCGCTGCCTGCCGACGCGTCGGCGCCGCTGCGAAAGAAGCGGCAGCGCGCGCCGTGCGAACACCAGCCTCCCTTGAACTTTCGGCGCAGGGGCCGCCAACCCTGCTTCGCCCAAGAGTAGTGGCCCTTCGCGTTTTGCTGGGTCTCTTCTTCCCCGTCCTGCTGCTTCCCCGTCTTCTCGTCCTGCTTCTCCGTCACTTCCTTCTTTTATGTATCCCTTTCCTTTTGGTGGTGGCCCCTCTCGTGGTGCCGGTGTGCCTCCTTCCCGTCCTTCTGGTTTCTCGTCGTCTTTTCCGCCTGCTCCGTGGCCGTGCCTTTCTCCTTCTGCGTTCCCTCCGGGTGGTTCGACTCGCAGTCGTGGGCTACCTTAGCCTTTTTGAAGGCATCCTGCTCCATCTCGGGGTCGAAGAGCCATTCGCCTTTCGGTTTGAACTCTCTTCCCTCGGCCACTGGTTCCATTGCCACTGTTGGCGGGGCGTTTCCTTTTGAGTGGCCGACATCGCTGTCGCTGTCTGAAAGCGCACTGATTGTTTAAGCCGGAATTGTTTTCTAGAAGTAATCTCTCATATAGTTTCGTCATATTTCTCACTTTTTTCGCATCCCCTCGTTCCTGGGCCCCTGGGTTCCGAAAACCTGTTCCTCTCGCCCTGGCATTATCCGTCTTCTCGTTGTTCTCCTCTGCCCCTCTTGCCCCTTCACCTCGGCCTCGTCGTGTTCCTCCTCCTTTTCCTGTTATTCTCTGATGTTTTCATAACTTACTTGGCCTTGACGGGGTTGCAATGAAAATCTCATAGCAGCATCCTTCGAAAGCGTTTAACACAAGCTTTCCTGTGTGGCGGTCTGCAAAGTGATTCGTTTTGTGCCGATGCAAGCTGGTTTCCTTTGTGGCGGGGTACACTGTGATTCCCTCTGCGGCGCCTTACACAAATCCGCCGATCCAGCGTGTGAGTTGAAGGGGGGGGTGGGCCGGGGTGGCTCTGCCGGGGTAAGGGGGGGGGTCCACAGATTTCCCTGA